CTAACTTCCTTGGCTTGGATTTTTTTCTTCTAGTACTTTCTGTAGGCCGAATTTGTGGATTGGCTCCCATACCCCATCCATTGCAACCCCAGTTTCAGGCCAGTAGGTAGGACTTCTGCAGGCATGCCTGACTAACACCATTCTCTCCTGGACCCTCTAGCCTTCAAGCCCTAATCCTTCCCCCAAACCCACCCATGCTCCAATCCTGCAGCTGTTCCCTGAGACACAGACTCTGCCAGCTCCGATTGGACAAAGAGCTCTGAAGAGTGGCTCCTGAGACACAAAGTTTGCACCAATTAAAAGAGATAGATAGATAGTTTGCCAGTTCAAGAATATATTCTATGACATAAAGAGCAATATGGTACCACCAGAACCTAGTGGTTCTATATCTGCAAGACCTGAAAATTCCAACAAAGAAGAAGCAGAAGAAAACAACCTTAAAATTGACTTTAAGAAAAAGATAAAGGCCTTTAAAGAGGAAATGAAAAATTCCCTTAAAGAAATTGAGGAAAAGACAAACAAAATATTGGAAGAAATTAATAAATCCCTTAAAGAGGGCCAAGAAGACCAAGACAAAGCAATTAAGCAGGTAAATGAAACAGTTCAAGACGTAAAAATTGAAATAGAAGCACTGAAGAAGACAAAAACTGAGAGAATGTTGGAAATAGAAAATCTGAGTAAAGGAACAGGAACGATACATGCAAGCATAACAAACAGAACACAAGAGATAGAAGAGAGAATCTCTGGTGTGGAGGATACAAGAGAGGAAATAGATTCATCAGTCAAAAAAATAATAAATCCAAAAAGTCATAACACAAAATATTCAGGAAATCTAGTAAAACATGAAAATCCAAACCTAAGAATAATAGGAATTGAAGGAGAAGAATACCAACTCAAAGGCACAGAAAAAATATTCAACAAAATCATAGAAGAAAATTTTCCCAACCTAAAGAAGAAAATGCCTATGAAGATACAAGAAGGTTTCAGAACACCAAATAGACTGGATCCAATAAAGAAGTCCCATCACCATATAATAATCAAACCACTAAATATACAAAATAAAGAAAAAAATATTAAGAGCTGTAAAGGAAAAAGGCCAAGTAATATATAAAGGCAAACCCATCAGAATAATACCTGACTTCTCAATGGAGACTCTGAAAGCCAGAAGGTCCTGGACAGATATTATGCAGACATTAAGAGTCAATGCATGCCAGCCCAGACTATTTATACTCAGCAAAACTCTGAATTGTCATAGACAGAGTACACAAAATATTTCATGATAGTTCCAATTTTTAAAGAACATTCCCTTTGACTTTCTATAGGTGACTCCATGTAACTTTTATAACGGTGTTTAATGTACTTGTCTTATTAATCTTGATTATTCTTTTCTTCCCATTTAAAGCATAAGACGTGCCACCCCTTCTTTTGAACATTTAGATACCATTGCAGGAACATTGGTTGACCTAATATTAGTATTGTTGTTTCTGAAGATTTAGGAATTTTTTGATGAGAAGAAACAAGATAGAATTCCATGACTCAATACCAAATAGACAACATTTGTCAATTATGATTGTTGTCTTATATAGGTAGTTTGTGGAACATAAAATAATTGAAAAGAAGGTATTATTAAAGATCACTGTTCAATGGCTATTATAAGAGAAGTACTAACCATTATAACTGCAAGGTATTGAAATAAGTATAAAACAGTAACATGCACAGATGAAGTAAGTACACATTACTACAGATAATCCTCATATATTTGTTTTGCCAAGATTGTAATAAATATTGAATTTGTAAGTTATATCAAAATAAGGTAAAAGTTGATTAAAAAAGACATGTCTGTACATTGTTTGAAACTAGAAATAAGAGCAAGGATGTTTCAATAGCATAAAAAAATAAAGCCTTAGTAATAGAAAATCATGGTTCCTGGGTCCTGGATCATAGATGATATTTTGCAGACCAAAATCAAAACCAGCAACCTTGCATTGTCTTCATTGAATCATGGATAACTTTTAACCTCTCTTGCTCAGAAATCAACAACATATTCTAAATCCAAAGGTGGATTCTTTTAAATTGGCTATGTCTATCTAAAATTATAAGTATTATGTATCTAAAATGAGTATCTTTCAAGGCATTCAGTTTCTAGAGACTTGGGCTCCCTTGTCTTACACAGCCATTTTTATGACTTTAAGAAATCTCTGTGACTCTAACTCCACCCTCTAAAGACACAATGTCTTGGGAAAACACTGTAATGAAATGGCAATTGTTTTTCTATTTCTGAAGACTGCCCTCTCCTCTTCCATCCTACATAAATGAAATCACTGGATGCCATTCTTTTTTTTTAGTGTGAAAGACTTATACTTTTGCTTAATAGAATATGTGTATTTTATTTTAAGTCTAGTTAGTGTGTGTGTGTGTATGTATGTGTGTGTGTGTGTGTGTGTGTGTGTGTGTGCATGTGCACATTTATTATTGTATGTGTACATACTCAGTATGTCAGCGGAGGTGAAAGAACAATTTGAGGGAGCCACATAGCCACTAAGCATTATATGGCTCCTAGAGATCAAACTCAGCTTGGCAGACTCAGAGGCAAATGTCTCTACTTGCTGAGTCATCTCACCAGTCATGACTAGGCTTCCTGTCTCTCAAATTAACCAGCACTTCTTTCTTTTCAGGGTTGAGTAACATCAAAGTGGGTGTATTACCTTATCACTGTTTATTCTTTGGTGCCCTAACATTTCAGCATGGCTTTTATCTCTTTCATTTAGTGGAATTTAATGGTTCCTGGTTTTGATAAAATCCAGTGTTTCATTTAAGGGTCATACTCTTGGGCTTATATGTGAGAATCTTTGCTTAATCTATGACCCTGGAATTTTTTCATCTTTTCTTTTAAAATAGTTCTAAAATTTTAATGTTTATGCATATACTGATTTGCTAATTTGTGTTACTTTTATATCTGGAATGATTTGGAGTTTCATGTTCAATTTACATGTTGCTGTCTTATTGTTGAAAATCGTGTATGTGATAACATATTAATATTTTCATTTCCTCTCTGTTTCATTGAACAACATATTTATTCATGTTCTCATACCACATTGATTTCATTACTATTTCTTTCACATAAGTTTTGAGATGAGAAAATGGAGTGATCCTACGTACTCTGATTTTGCAGGATTATTTTCATATTTTCTGGGCCCTTTGTAATTACCCTCAGAATCAGATTAAAATTTACAAAAAGAACTCCAAAGCTTTATTATGATTAATTAGTTATGGGAAATACCGTGTTTGTAATAATGATAAACCTTCTCATCCATGAATGTGGTGAATGAAAAAAAAGTAGAAATAAAAAGGATATGACTGCTCGTAGGTCTGGTGTAGACAAAAGCAGAGTGAAAGCACAGACAGGGACATCTGGGTGAGTCCAAAATCAACATGACCCTGACTGAGGTGGGCTATGTGGGGATAGGAGGAAAAAGGAGAGAGGGGGACCAGGTGCAATAGCCAAGAGGGTAAGGGAACAAAAGGGGCAGGCAAATGAAATGGCTGGATTAAACATGAACGACCATCCCAGCATGCTGGACTGGGGAGTCAGAGTTGTGGGGAATGTGCAAGCCAGGAGGACCCTGTAACAGCTAGTGACAGAAGGACTCCAGGGGAACCTGGCCGTCAAGTTCACTTTTACATTTTAAGTATGCATCTCAGCCATTTGTCCCAGGGTGTGAGACTTAACTTGAGCTATAATTGTCAGCTATGCATTTTAGGAGCAAAGTCCATCCTCAGTAAACATTAATTTTGAGGACTTCAAGACCATTTGGATCTCGAGAACTTGGCAGAGATGCTGGTAACATGTTTCATTCTCAATAGGAATGAAAAAGTGTTTCTCATGAGTTCCGAGTATCAGTGTTTATGGATGATTGATCAGTGAGTTCAAAGATCAGCAACTGCCGCTTCCTTCTCCTGGACATTTACAGCCTCGGGCTGCTTGTTTATAAAACTTTCTTTCCAGACCAGCTAGCTAATCCTCACTTCCAACTTGGTGCTGTGCTTGCACCTAGTAAATGCACTCTGGTTCCTAATTTTGGAGGTTATAGAACCTTCTCTGGTCCCTGCTTCCTTGTAAGTATATCTGTGTGTCTATATTTTCTTCATTCTCTCCCAGTTCCTAGCCAGAGTTTGGGATTCTAGTAGCATGGATTGAGTAACATGGTTTTCAATAACTTCAACAATATTTTGTTTCCCAGAGCACAAAGTTTGTCAGTCATAGTTCAATTTATTACTTTATATTACTATATTATAAATCAAATTTTTTTCTTAGTTTCATTTGTGAATTGTTTGTTAAAGTATATTGTAGCTGGTGAGTTTTCTCTTTGGGTTCCACCAAGCCTCAGCAGTCTGACAGCCCACTTATAAAATAAATACACAGACACTTATATTATTTAAACTGTTATTATTTAATGGCTCAGGCTTCTTGTTAACTGTTCTTATATCTTAAATTAACCCATTTCTATTAATCTATACTTTGCCACATGGCTCGTGACTTACCAGCATCTTCACATGCTGCTTGTCTTGGTGGAAGCTGGCAGTGAATCTCTGCTTCAGCCTTCCAATTCCCAGAATTCTTCTCCTCCTTGTCCCACCTATACTTCCTCCTGCCAGGCTGCTGACCAATAAGTGTTTTATTTATTAACCAATCAGAGCAACACATTTGACATACAGAACATCCCACAGCAGTATATAGACATGAAATTATTTTAGTATAACATCTAAGTGCCAACGTTTTTGCTATATCATTTCTACATTTTCAATACTATTAAACTGATAGAATAGTTTAATAATTTAGTGATACCACACAGCTCTCTGTTTATAAATCATGGCATAAATGAATTGAAATAGCTTTTCTCATCCCTTTTCTTTAGGATCATTTTCATTTGTTCTCTTTGCCTGGCTGACATGGTTAGAGTTTCAAATACATTCCACAGAGTAGATATTGAAGTACTGACCTTGTATGAGAGGTTACCAGGTGAAAGGAATGACCTTGTCATTTCCTCATCTTAGGGGAAAAATTGCCTTAAAACAAAGCAAAATTATCAATGAGCTTGTTGCAAATGACTTTTCTCTGCTGAAAAAAAATGATTATTTTAATTTTTTTCCAAAAGGATTATGGACTTTTTCAAATGTTTCCAAATCAACTGAGATGAAATGGTTGTTTAATTAGAAAAAAAATATGTTGGTATCCTGTATTACAAAAATGTATAATTATGGTTGTTCATAAAATAAGTGCTATTAAAATGAATTTCTGTATTTGGTATGATCATAATTTAAAGACAAATTTGAGGCATTAAAACTAACGACCTCTACTCAAAGAAAGTAATGCTCAATAAATATTTATTTCCAGTTTTATATTATTAACTCTTGGTTATTGTTATGTGAGATATTTCCTGGGGAAGTATGAATAATGAATCTCTGGCAATTACTTATAAGAGACTGTGGGTGAAATTATTTGCAAGAATATAGATGACTCAAAGGCAGTTGAATCATCACACAGCTCATGGCAGCTACATTACTGGAGCTTCCTTCAAAACGTTCAGGCACAGGATGGATCAGAGGGTCTATTCTTCTCAGTACCTCTTATTGATTAAATAATCTTTGGAAGGGAGAGACTTTCAAATCTGCTAAATTTCAGATTCTTCCTCAGACTTGTGAGGTGTATATTTCATCAGTTGCAATGAGCCTCCCTCCAAGATATAGCATTCCAACTCCAGTAGATCTGCTAAACAATCATCTACAAAGTTGAGAGTGTCCTTGTTTCTGTTCTAAAATAATGCCTCACATTTTAACATCCCTGTCTAAACTTTCTGTGTAAATTTACATTTTCCTAAAATATGAATCTTAATTTATGGACTTTATGTATATGGATGTCTTTCCTGCATGTATGTCTGCACATCAGAAGAGAGCATTGCATCCCATGTGACTAGTTATAGATAGTTAGTGGTAAACCACCATGCAGATGTTGGGAATTGAACTCTGGACTTCTGGAAAAGCAGCCAGTACTCTGAAACACTGAATCATCTCTCTGGCTGAATTTCAGTTAATTTTACTGGTAAAATAGTAGTCCTAAGCACACAAACTTTTAAATAGCATTCAAAAACATTTGATAAAAAAATGTATGTTGTTTCAGAAATTAAATAATTTGCATTATTATAAAAAATAAACTACACAGAAAGTCATTTTCTGCCTCAGGTAAATATTTTAACTCTCTCTCTCTCTCTCTCTCTCTCTCTCTCTCTCTCTATATATATATATATATATATATATATATATATATATATATATATGTGTGTGTGTGTGTGTGTGTGTGTAACTTAATATATTAATATTTTGAATTGCTACAAGTATCTTAATAATGAAATATAATGGAATTTTACATATGCTTTCATGCATTTTAATTATGAATGCTGAGGGAAAACACCTCTATAAACAGGAAATATAGCAGCAACCCTTCAACTCCACTGAGAAACCACTAATGACAAATAAATACAATTTTTTCACCTGAAATGGTGTCATATTCTCCTAAGGTATCTAAAATGTTTTAGATAATAGAAAATTGTTTTATTCAGAAACAGGACCTTGCTTTTTGTTGCTTGTTACTTTTCTGTACTGCTGTTCCAAAATGGCTGACATGTTAATTGAAGAAAAGGTAAAAGTATATTTTAATACTTCCTGAAAATAAACTGAATCATGGGGGTGAATGTATGGGAGCAGAACAAGAGGCAGATGGTCACATTGCATCTTCATTCACGAACTAGAGAGAAATGGATGCTCGAGTCCATGTTATGTTCTCTTTTTATTGAAAACCCTCCTTAAATAACAAATTCAGAGTGAGTCTTCCCAATTCAGAATACACAGTATAGATAATATCTCAGAAACCCCAGCTGTTATTCAGGTTCTTCCCTAAAAGTGCTTATGTTCATCATTTTTAAATACTGAAAACATATTTTCTGTTTTTTTCACTAAATAAAAAGGTGACATGAAAGAATAAAAAAAAATATTGTATTAAGAGACATTGAATGGCTGTCTATACTTGCACATGCCTTTCATCCCAGCACTTACAAGGTAGAGGCAGAGAGAACCCTGCTTCTGAATCCAGCTTAGAATTAATAGGGAGTTCAAAACCAGCCATGGCTGCACAGTGAGACACAGTCACACACACATGAAAACAGGATCATAAGACTAAATGACCCATGTACAGAATTATTCAGTAGTAAACTGAATTTGATTATTTTTAATATAAAATGGTACACTTTGACAGTATCAAAATTATAAAAGGCAGTAAAATATAACATTTTAAATGCAACTATCTGGGAAGTACAGAAAGCTTTATAATTTTGATGTTTTTGGAGTTACTGTGAAACATGAATTTACATTACATTATCCACTTGGGTATACTATTGAAAAAGAAGTTCTAAAAACCTTAAAATATTTGCATATTTTTGATAGTTTGAAAGAAAAAAAGAAAGTGAATAAAATACCAGACTAAATGTTACAAAAGATGACAGCAGTGTTTATATCTGAGAGGTTAAAATCGCTGGTAATTTGATGCTGTTCTTTGAAGCATGAACAACAATAAATTCATGTTGTTTATGAAATGAGGGTGTTTATGTCATATTGTTGACAAGATTTAAAAAAAAAAACTCTTGTTTAAATAAATCCTAGTGAAATTTTGTTAGAAATATAAATAACCTTCCTGGAATAACCCTGTAAGGAAGGAAAGGATCACTTCTTCATAGCACTGAATATAAAGGAAGTAATCATAGAATTCTGGAAGTGGCCAGGTGTTGGTGGCACAGACCTTTAATCCCAGCACTTGGGAGGCACAGCCAGGTGGATCTCTGTGAGTTTGAGGCCAGCCTGAGCTACCAAGTGAATCCCAGGAAAGGTGCAAAGCTACACAGAGAAACACTGTCTCAAAAAAAAAAAAAAGCAAAGAAACAAAAAAGAATTCTGGAAGTGGAACATATTAAAATTTATTTTATGAAATGACTGTGTATATAATAGAGTATTATATGTGATAGAGCCCTGTCACAACATCCTACTCTCAATACATTTTTTGACTTCAGTATTAGCTAAGGCTGAGAAGAAATTAAAAGCCAGAAACCACCTCTACCTCCTCCCTTTCTGCCCAAGACACAGTATAAACATCCCTTTTCAGGACAAGCCTCTTATCTGCTGCCACGACAAGAAGAGTAAACCAACACTTATTTCCAGATATAGGAATCAGATACTAGATTGGTTTCAAAAACCAAGGTTCCCTAAAATAATTTTTGTCTTTATTAGTTTACCTTGTATATGTATTTACGTTGGCTGTGATTTGGCTACACGTTAAATAGCAGAAGTCATGTGCTAGGGTCTTGGTGTCCATTGTAACGACATTGATATGTGATGCCAGTGATTTTGTCAAAGGACTCTGTTTAGCGATAGATGGATGTATTTCTGAGAGACTTGACTAATCCTATGCAGGCGTGATCAAGTCTGGAAAGAGTGAGTTAGATATCAAGGGACAGGATCAATAACCATGACAGTCAGGTGTGAAAAAAAAATGTAACAACTTGCCCCTTTTTCTTAAAGGCAAGCTCTGCTAAATGTGCCTGCATTTCCTCTGCTCTTCTGCCTTGAATGGAAGCAGCATGAGTCCTTCACAGGCAGCCCCATTCAGATGTTGGTGTCAATGAATCTCTAGAACTAATATTAGAAAACTTTCTTTTCTTACAGTTTGCCATACCTCAAGTACTTTGTCATGTCAGTAAAAACAGTCAGTGACTCCAACACAACAAACCTAAGTCTCTCATCATTTGTCTTATCCTTTCTCCATAAATTTATTGATTTCTTAAGAGAGTACATATTACTCCATCTGTATCAACTCCTTTAGTTTTTGTTGTTGTTGTTGTTGAGTTTGTCTACATTCCAAGTGCAAATAAACTACTTGATGCCTCTTACTTATCCCTCAGCTATCAGTTTTATTTGTGAGCCCTGACTACTGTTACCTAAGAGGGTAGTAGAAAGTAGTTTTCTCCTGCACATGGGTTTAGAGTCAGAGCAAACATGGATTCAAATGGCAGACCTAATGTTTGTGGGTCAGATAGCTTCAGGGAAGTAACACAGCCTCATTACACTGTTCCCTTATCTGGAAGCAGATATTATAATAATACCTCGTGAGCTTGTTGAGGGGATTAATAGAGAGAATGTTTTCAGCATAGTTCTTATTACACAGTTGGCATTTAATTAATTTTACCATTTATTATTTTACTTGAAAGCAAGAGAAAGCCATTCTTCTGTAGCAAATGACCTGGAAAAAAGTAGTATCCTTTTAAAAATTAAGGCTAATATCAACCAGATTGAAAAGTTAATTAATACTATGTCTCCAGAAAGGAAATTACATCATAAAACACCAAGAATACTCCTTGAAACCAATTTTAGGTGCTCAATATATATCAGTTAAATACATAAACTATTGATAAAACAGCTTTGGTATATGATGTAGAAACTGTCCTTGTAAGATATTTAAAATATTCAAGGATAACATTTTAGAAATTAGTGGACTCTTGACTAATTATGTGAACTCCCCTTTCCTGCATGAAATGGCTTTTCACATGTGGGTACTTGAAAGCAAGGACCTTAGAAGTGTTTACATTGGTCCTCACTTTTTTGATTTATTAATCAGCTATTGTTTGATCAGGAGATATCACCTAGCTGAAACTTCAAATTTTACTTTTATTTTCTTATTTAATGTTCAAGGGCCATCTTCCCACAAGATGATACAGGAAGCAGCAAAGTGTATCAACTGACTCCCTCACTTCTGCTCCTAAGCACATGGGCAGAGAAGAGAAATTATTCTTAGTGACATCAAGATGCTATTGGTCATGGTACTCAAGTGTCTCAGAAGACCCTAGCATGTGAAATTTTCCTTTAAGCCTCTTTAACAGGTTTCATTTTAGAAACACCCAGAATAATAAATATTTTATCAGTAGTGAGATTATTAAAACTTAAATATTGTCAACATTTTGCTAGGAA